TACTAGCAGGTGGGCCCGGCGTTGCTCGGGCAAAAGTAACGATAACTAAGATAAAGATTATTACGTTACAGTCAACCTTACCCGTTTTCACAGAATGCAAGAATTGGGTCCCCTTGTTTCCAGACTAATTAGAGAATTTTTAGATGGGTCTAAAAATATGTTCGATTTCCCGCAAAAACGAAAGAACTGCATCTGCGCCTGTAAATCTTGCACGTCATTTTCTCTTAACAATTCCATTGTTAATTAAAACTTCCATTGTTACCTAACACCGCCATTGTTACTTAACACTTCTATTGTTGATGGAAGTGTTAAGCTTAATCCTGTCCCTCTCTCCCCAGGGGGGGGCATTTTGAAAAATCCCTTCTTAGTGTGCGTTTTCGTGACGTACCCTAACTGTGTACCAAATTTCAGCTTCCAACTCCTAACCGTTTGGGCTCTGCGCTGATTATTATTATTATCAACTCGTCTCGATTATATATATAGATTCTTATTTAACGTACTGTACAATAAAGCTTTAATTATGCAGCTGAACTGTGTTTGTGTTTTAGTAGAATAGAAGAAGTATTTAGTTGTGTGAAATAATAAAATTTTGGCTTACCTGGAGATCCATAATCATAAAGTGGAAGTTTGCAAATTTTTGGCATCACATTCATCAGAGTAGTAGTATATTGAAGTAATGTACCTTGGATCTTCAAATATTTAAAATAAAAATCCATCTTTAATAAGTTATAAATTAAATATATCTAAATTTAAATGACTTAATAACATTTAAAAACCATATGCAATCCAGTCCATTTAAAAGAGCATGCTTGATTGCTGCATTATGATGCCTTATCTGAAGCAACAAGATCACCCTGTGGGTTGTTAATGGTATTCCATTCTCTCTACTTTCTTGTGTCTTAGGAACTGTATGTAATTTACAAAACACTCGGAAATGTTAAAATTTATCATCACATAATTTTTCTATACTTAAATATTTGTTTCCATTCCCATATCAGTTTTATTGTTCTATCAAGTATCAAGTAAATACAGTACATTTACCATCACATTACTATTCACTTCCCAGAAATACAGTAGAGGGCCTTGCTGAAAAGATGTGAATATCCTTGCTCCAAAATTTCTGAATGCTCTCTAATGAGACATACAGTATGAAAACAAATTATTAAAATAAGGTTATGTGACCTCCAAAATCTGGTCACTAATCACTTCTTGTCTTGTTTCCTCACAATGGGAATGTGTGTGATATGTACTGTTTGTTCATATACAAGGTGTAACAAAACTCTGTGCTAAATATTTTAGATATAGATATTTAAGGAGGAAAATTATAAGCTTAAAATCCTTTAAAAACATTTTTTAAATTCTACTTTATTTTTAAGATCTTCTGCCAAACAAGATATCAAAAAAAGGTTTTCAAACTCCTTGCCAAAGTACTAATAGTAGAGTTGTCAACTTTTTTAAGATTATTTTTTACTCTGGAATATATCTTTAAAATATTGGTGAGTTTTGTTATACCCTGTATATTTTGTAATAGCTTTTTGATACAAAAACTGCTTCTTGTGTGTATGTCCAATAACATGTGTTCATTGTGATTCTATAGAAAAATCTGACTAACTGACTATTAAAAAAAACTGACTAATGGAAGGTTTTTATCAAATCTCAACAAATACTATAGTGTAGAGAATCTTGTCACTATGTGCCTTGACAGTAATATGCTGTAAAATTAAAGCTAGACCATTACAAATCTTAGAATAAATAGTGCTCTTTTATATGGACTTCTACTCTCAAAAAAGCCAACAACATGATGCTTGTTTAAACAGACTGCTCTAGTATCTGGTGCTTTGTTAACAAGTCTTGCAAATATAAAACAGAGGGAGAAAAAATTGGAAATATACGATTGTTCTCTGAAGTGAACTATCTCTTATTTAAATGCTCTGTTAAGTGGACTCAATTGTATAAAGAAAAGAAAAAGACAGATTAAAGATAAAGCACTAAAAATCAATTTTTGCTGTTGTTTTGTGGTTTAATTTGTAAAAATATTCAATGATTAACAATTTAGATGGTTCTATTTTTAATTTCTGTAATATTTTAAATATTTTACAATACAGTAGACCCCCCTATAACGCTTAGATACGTTCCATGCTAATCGAATTTTATGTTGTAGGAATGATTAAATACATGAGCCAATCGCAGCCTGATAGGTGTGAACTTTATAGACTAAGGCTGTTTGAAAGGTTTTCTTCTATAAAATTAACCGATTCTAGACTAATTCCACTCAACATTTCCAAAACACGTATAATTTTTTGGGAATAATCTGTATAAACTATGCTATAAACAAAAAATTATAGGATTACTTACTGAGTGTGCACCATTCGACTACGCCCGTTGTTCAAAGCTTGTCTTCGTCGCGGAACAGCACACGAAACGGCGGCCGCGATTTCTGATAAATAATTTTTCGCAGAAAAATAACTTGACCTTTGGAGACATCATTAATATAAATAATTTTTATGGCCGTTGAATAAGAAGTGTTTCTTTCACAAGAAATGTATAAAATTAGTGCTGTATTAGACTTACGGTACCTAATTTACATACTGTACAGACGATAATAAACTCAACTTACTAGCCTAAAATCTCCGTAGCGTGTTGCCAGGCGGCAGAAAGCATATATATAATTATAATAAAGTTACAATAAATTAAGTTAATATATAATTATATATACAGTACCTAATTTATATATAATTAATATATAATTATATGTACAGTACCTAATTTATATATAATTTATATATAATACTAAACAGACGATAGCAAACTCAATTTAGCCGCTCCGTAGCGTGGCACAGGGTCAGAGGAAAGTAGTTCGGCTGCTCATCCACTATTGGTCCAGATTCTATCAATCTTGTCGCGAAACAACGTTATAGGAGGTACTTTATATGAATGTTGCTACAATTTTTTCGCTACGTTATAGGAATTGTCATTATAGGAACGCACGTTATAGGGGGGGTCAACTGTACTAATTATTAGCTATAATTTTAAAAAAACTATAGACCTATAAATTTCCACTGTCATCCATCTGTCTGTCTTTCCTTAATCTTGAGAATAGAGTTACATAAATGAAAACTGAATCATATATGGAAAGCTTAGGGACAGAAAACCCTGATTAACTACAGGTAGACCTCCTACAACACGGTACCTTTACAACGCGTTTTTGCTCCAACACGGTTAGAAAAATGTGGAAATTTTCTTACAACATGGTACTTTTACAACGCGGTTTACAGTATTTAGAAACGAATTATCTTCACACAACAGAAAAATTGCAACAGATCATGTGATATGAGCCGCAGTTCAGCATACTGAACTAAAAGCTTTTGAAAACAGCTGTTTGTGGATGTTGGCATGTTATTCCCTTGAACGTTTCAGGGAAAGACCGGTTTCTAGACAGATGTGCATCAGTTACTGTAAACACTCAAATATATCACTAAATTTTTGATCATTTATACTCTTTCAATAAGTGGGGACCGCAGAAATGGTCCAAAATACAGTATAAACTTATATTGGGTGTATATTTTTAACAACATAGTGAAAGGAAGTTATTTTTTGCGATTTTTACTGTCCACAAAAACTGATTGAAAAAATTTTAGCCATAACAATGCCGAATGAAAAGTAAGGACCGTCGTTAAAAAGGAAATTTATAACTCTTCAAACAAAGATAGAAATTTTGGATCGAATTAAATATCAAGAGCGGCTAGCTGATATCGGTAGGCATTTTAATCTAAATGAATCGACAATTTGGTCGAGAGAAAAGATCAGAAATTTGGTCGCATCCAGATCATCTATTCTTGCGAAAAATGTTGCTCGTCGGAGAGCATCTATAATGGAAAAAACGGAACAAGCTCTAATATTATGGGTAGAAGATATGAACAAGAAACGGTTGCCTTTAAATACAACTGCACTTAAACACTTAAAGCCTTAAAAATATTTGATTATTTAAAACAAATGGGACAGTCATCAGCTGATGAAACCAGTGTTAAATCTGTGGCTAGCAATGGCTGGTTTGAAAAATTCAAAAAACACCATTCAAACGCCAAGTTTTTCTCTTTTTAGAACCGAATCCCAGTTTTTGTATTAAGTTGGTGTTTCCTATAACGTGATTTCCCACAACGTGGCATTTTCAAGGAACGTATCTACCGAATGTATCTACCGTAGTAACCGTATCTAAGGAGGCCTACCTGTATTTATGTTATTTCAATTCAAAAGTTTTTCCCTGAAATAAGTTAGATAGATGACCAGCAAGACTTTATTCCAACAAGAAAAGTATGATGTGTTACTAATTGAGGTGGAAGCATATATTTTAAATTAAATAAATTAAAAATATGATTAAAATGCAATTTTTAATCATATTTTTGTAGCCCAGCATTGTGACAATGTCACAATATTTGCTTGTTTTATTTCTTCTAAATCTTCTTTGTTAAAAATAATACAAAATTTTAGGATACTTATCTGAAGATGTCACCAAAATAACATAAGTTATATAAAACAAAACCTGAAAAACTAACAATCAAGTTATCTCAAAAAGTACAAAATTCTTAAATTTTTTAACTCCCAATTAGAAACTCATCAAACAAATTTTTCTTTGCCTAAACCTAACAAAAACATCTTTAGAAAATGTAAAAAATACTTTGTGTGCCACAGACATTTATCTGTCAGTGCAATTTTTCTTGAAACTATTGAAGACACACATGCTTCATTAATTTTCTGTACATCAATATACACTGATCCATACTAACTGATATTAGATGATACCACTTGAACTTTATCTTGAAAGCCATTAAGTTTATAGTACATCCCCTCTCTAAGTAATAACTCTCAGAGAACTATTTAGAAACATTTATTTTAATTAATTTTTAAAATATTATTATTATATTTTATTAACATAATTTGATAAATTAAATATAAATGCAAATTGCCAAACATCCAAAGTTGCCAAACACTTAAAATAATTAATTTCTTCTATTTGTTATGTTCCACTTAGTTTTGATTACTGAACAGCTAATGGAAACAAAATGAGAGAAATGGGACAGAATATATCAATATATATGGTAATATCTTTTAATGTGCTTACTAGTAATTGTTATGTTTTCAACGGACAATTTGGAAAATGGATTATTGAATATATAAATAGAAAACTGGATTACTGAACCATTTCAAGATTAAATATTTAGAAAATAATAATTACCAAACTTTTCACAATTTTTAGTAATTCTTCCATTACAACAGCAATTCCTTGATATCCTAATAATCTACAGATAGCACCAAAATGAGATGAGCCAACAAATCCATTATACATTCCATAAATAGTCATATTAGCAACATTCAATGCCTAGAATCATATAAGTAAAATTTTAATACATAAAACAAATCAATAAAAAATTAGAGCTTAAATATGAGATTGATACTTTAGTTCCCCAAAAGTAATGAGGTTGAGCAGCTGGTGTTTTTTCTCGCACAACTGGTTGGGTAAAGGTGATATCTTTCACTTTGACAAATCTATAATTCAACATAACAAATAAATTTTAGAAATACTTTTGTTATACAATGGAAACTGGTTGTTATAAATTATGGAGATTAAAATTTCATCATATTAAAAGTTTAGTGTATGTAATAAATTACATTAAGCAAATCTATTATAGTGACAGATATTTTTGTAAATAAGCTTTAAGATTATAACTTGAAAGCTAAATGACTTCTGAGTACAATAATAATGACAAAAAGTAAGTCCAGGTTTACTTTCAGAAACTTGCTTATTAATAAAAATTACATTACTGATCATTCTATGGCTTTTTCTGGTCCTGCAGGTACTAAGAGGGTTTTTTTCACATTCATTGTAGATTTAGCCAGGAGTGCTGAGGACAACTGGATAATAAGGACAGGGTACAATGTATTCAAGACAGACCATCCATGAAAAATTCCTGGGGGTGTTTTGATGATCTAGCTTTAATCTGACTCTCCAGTGTGACAGTTTGACACCTTAGCCACCTTGGCCATCCAGCCTTCAAATCACTGATCATTAGAAAATTCATAATATTTATCAATTTCTTCACTATTACATTCCTATATCTCAGTATTTTCATTCTTTCTCTGTCATCATATCATCATTATCCAATTCTCCAGATATCATTAAACAAAATATTTACAGATATTAACATGGCATTTAGAGTGAGCATTAAAACCATATTTTGACCTGACAATAATTCCAATTAAAAGTTGTCTGCACCTGATCTTTATATTCATAGACTTCAAAAAGCAAATAATAAATAAAATAACTTCATTGAAATAAAAGATAAGCACTAATAATTTAATTTTAAAATAAACAAAAATATAATAAAATTTAATTCTATTAAATATATTTAATCAATCATGACTATATATGTAAAATTCTAGAAGATAACACTAATTCTATTTTTTCTTCCTTCTGATTTTCAAGTAGCTTTATTAAAATATATTTAGAGTTTTTTTCATTAGACTAACAAAACAGTAGATAAATAATTTCATATAAATACTTTTCCATCTCTTACTTTCCAGGCTCTATTATATATAAGAGGGTAAATATAGCAATTGGTCAAAAAATGACCCTCCCTAAGATTTTTACATTTTTGGACTCAGACCTTATAACATCAAGAAATACAAAAAAGTTTGGGGGTTTTTTCTATATGTATGGATGTTAGTGTGTATGAGTGGGAGAGGGCACAATTTTGTTCATCCTCTTTGAAGTCTAAACTCCCATGCTATTTGTCAAAAATTTCTGAAATTTTGCAGGGTTTGTTTATTAGAAGGATTGATGCTATTAAATTTTGGTAGTTAAAGGGTAAAGGTGTAAGGAGATATAGTGAGGTTGTATTCACATTTTGAGTAGGGTCAGACTTAATAGCAATTTTACTCGTCATTAGATTTACAATTTATTTTTAATAAATCTCATCTCTACCTTCAAAATTAAGCTTTATGTCATTTTATAATAAGTAAGTATATAAAAAACTTTTAAATAAATATCAAAACAGATTATCCCACATGCAGTTTTAAATACAGTAATACCCCGAACTTACGCAATAGGTGGAACCGAGCAATGACCGTGTAAGTCAAATTCGCGTAAGTTGGGATATAATTTTGCAATTTGTGTAAAATCCAAGTCGAATGTATGTAAGCTAATAAATGTTCTCGTTAATCTTATCTTGTCTTTTGATTCGTTCATGGTTACAAGAAATCACCACATAGAGTCTCTCAAGTCTCCGTAGGTATAACAAACACAAAAATAAATAACACAAAATAAATTGTAGCTATGTGTCAATTCTGCGTGACATGTCCAAACATGTAAACTGAACAATAGCGTGGGGGGAGTGAGTAATCAAGAGTTGCATGGCACTCAAACAAAAGACGAATCAACGAGATTTGAAAATCGCGTAACTCCAGGTTTGCATAAGTCGGGGTAGCGTAAGTTGAGGTATTACTGTATTTAGAAAGTTAAGAAACACATTTTGGATATTTTTCAATTTTTACAAACATCTTTCTTTATATTTTTGATTTAATAATTTAATTCTCATGGAAATTTTTAGAGTGTATCATAAAATATTTAAAATTTTAAAACTGAATGAAAAAAATTAGAATCATAGTATTAACATATCAATTCATTTTTAAGTAGAATAAAACTATTTAAATATTTGATAACTGGATTGGATGTTTTGTTTACCATATGATTTAAACAACAAATTTCCATTGTATTTGTGAAATGTTATAACTGTTATACTTCTTAAGCAGAATCTAACCTATTAGTAGCAGCATTGTAGCAGTAATTAGGCAAAAAATCATAATTTAATTCCCAAAATACATGGAGACAAATACGTCCATAAGGTGCTGAAACATTGTGATTTGCTTCACGAAACATTGCATCAAAATCATCTAATGTGATATATTTGCTTAATAGTTTGTGTGCTAATCTGTTGACACCAATTACTCCTTCCAGTTCCTATTAAAAATTGGAATACATTAAAAATACAGAAACTATCAAAATTAATATATATATATAGTAATAATAATATACATACAACAATTCCTGTAATATCTCCAGCTTCAAATTTGCTAATTGCTAAATCAAGAGATTTTTGAAGTGCAGCATTAATACGCTGAGCAGTCAGTCTATTAAGATCAATTGATCTTCCCAAAAGTTGAACGTGTCTTTGCTTTAAAAGTGTTTCATAACGGTTAGCAGGAGGATAACTAAACCGAGTTCCATAACTAGCACATTCTGCCCTAAATCTTTTATCTAACAAAATGCTGAAAAAATATGATTATTAAAATAATATTGCTAAAATATTTAATTATTCATTAAATAAAATCTTTACTTACCTTCCAGCTAAATGCTTATAATATGCAAAAATTTGATCACTAAGCTTGTAGACAAATTGATCAAAACACAAATTAACTTCAGCTTCCACTTCATCATAAAGAAACTGCTTACGAAATTTTGTGAGAGCATAATAAGCACTATCATTGTATAAATCTAATGGATACAATACACACCTGCATAAAAAAATTTACTTTAGTGATTTAAAATATTTTAAAAATCTTTATTTCCTATAACTAGGATCTAAAAACAAAATATGACAAAATATTTATAATAATTATAGCAATAATGATATTTTTATTTTGTCTGTCTGTAAATCTTTATAAGTTAAAAATAAATAATTCTTAATTTATGTTATTTAAATTCTTAAATACCCATTTTGATTATTTCATTCTTGTGTTTATAAAGTTTTAATTATATAATTTAATAATCTTATTTTATTATTCTTTTTCAGTCATGAATTTTTGAATTATTATTTATACATATGGAGACAATGAACAATATCATAATCATGACTATATATGTAAAATTCTAGAAGATAACACTAATTCTATTTTTTCTTCCTTCTGATTTTCAAGTAGCTTTATTAAAATATATTTAGAGTTTTTTTCATTAGACTAACAAAACAGTAGATAAATAATTTCATATAAATACTTTTCCATCTCTTACTTTCCAGGCTCTATTATATATAAGAGGGTAAATATAGCAATTGGTCAAAAAATGACCCTCCCTAAGATTTTTACATTTTTGGACTCAGACCTTATAACATCAAGAAATACAAAAAAGTTTGGGGGTTTTTTCTATATGTATGGATGTTAGTGTGTATGAGTGGGAGAGGGCACAATTTTGTTCATCCTCTTTGAAGTCTAAACTCCCATGCTATTTGTCAAAAATTTCTGAAATTTTGCAGGGTTTGTTTATTAGAAGGATTGATGCTATTAAATTTTGGTAGTTAAAGGGTAAAGGTGTAAGGAGATATAGTGAGGTTGTATTCACATTTTGAGTAGGGTCAGACTTAATAGCAATTTTACTCGTCATTAGATTTACAATTTATTTTTAATAAATCTCATCTCTACCTTCAAAATTAAGCTTTATGTCATTTTATAATAAGTAAGTATATAAAAAACTTTTAAATAAATATCAAAACAGATTATCCCACATGCAGTTTTAAATACAGTAATACCNTGTAGCAATTATTTTATTATTTCATGTCTTGCATTCAAAATCAAACAAAAATCAATAATGATCAAATCAGATTAAATTCTGTGTTTTTTATATTACCATATATCTCGGCAGATAAGACGAGGTATAAATTTTCATCGAACTTTTATAGTTTTAGCATATATCTGTCCTATAAGACGACCCCCAACCTATCAATGGCTTATGAATTTAGTTTAGGTCAACAATCATCACCTGAATACTAATACTGTATAGTGTATATGGAATTATGTCCTATTTGTAATTTTTCGAATAAACAAATGTTATTTTCTTGCATCTGGCATCACTGCCTTGCGATTGTTACAAACATTTGCACTGATTCAGCATTCAGGTAATGCTGAATCAGTGCAAATGTTTGCAAATTCACCTTGACTATTCACAAAAATGTCGTATGGCTATTCTATTTTGTGCACATACCCTACTCTCTCTAATAGTAAATAATTATGGTTTGTCCATTTTTTTATAATGGTTTTAATTTATATAAATTTCAATCTAATTTTTTTTGTATCTGTCCTATAAGACAAACCCAGATTTGGGGGGGCCTTTTTTTTATGATTCAATTATCGTCTTATCTGTCGAGATATACAGTAATACAGGATATTAATTATTAACTTTATATGATTACATTTATAACCAATAAAATAAAACTAATAAAGTTTATAAAAAAGTTTATTAACAACTTACTCCATCATAGAAGGATCCTTTGTTTTAAGTATATGATCAGTCAAAATCCAAGGTAATGACATTTCAATTGGAAACTATTTACCAGAAAAATATAAAATTACTTACTATAGAAAAAAAGAATCTATGATTAATAAAAAAATTCTGCAGAATAAAAACTTATTACTTTATTATATAATTTTTGATTAAACTTGCCTAAATTTATATTTTATTCTATTTTATATCATATTGAACAAAAAATAATTTAAAAAATTATGCAGCTCACAATGCAGAAAAAACTTTTATTAGTTAATTTTAAAAAATCAAATATGAATATTTTGAAACAAAGAAAAACTTATGCCTCTTTGAAGTCTAAACTCCCATGCTATTTGTCAAAAATTTCTGAAATTTTGCAGGGTTTGTTTATTAGAAGGATTGATGCTATTAAATTTTGGTAGTTAAAGGGTAAAGGTGTAAGGAGATATAGTGAGGTTGTATTCACATTTTGAGTAGGGTCAGACTTAATAGCAATTTTACTCGTCATTAGATTTACAATTTATTTTTAATAAATCTCATCTCTACCTTCAAAATTAAGCTTTATGTCATTTTATAATAAGTAAGTATATAAAAAACTTTTAAATAAATATCAAAACAGATTATCCCACATGCAGTTTTAAATACAGTAATACCCCGAACTTACGCAATAGGTGGAACCGAGCAATGACCGTGTAAGTCAAATTCGCGTAAGTTGGGATATAATTTTGCAATTTGTGTAAAATCCAAGTCGAATGTATGTAAGCTAATAAATGTTCTCGTTAATCTTATCTTGTCTTTTGATTCGTTCATGGTTACAAGAAATCACCACATAGAGTCTCTCAAGTCTCCGTAGGTATAACAAACACAAAAATAAATAACACAAAATAAATTGTAGCTATGTGTCAATTCTGCGTGACATGTCCAAACATGTAAACTGAACAATAGCGTGGGGGGAGTGAGTAATCAAGAGTTGCATGGCACTCAAACAAAAGACGAATCAACGAGATTTGAAAATCGCGTAACTCCAGGTTTGCATAAGTCGGGGTAGCGTAAGTTGAGGTATTACTGTATTTAGAAAGTTAAGAAACACATTTTGGATATTTTTCAATTTTTACAAACATCTTTCTTTATATTTTTGATTTAATAATTTAATTCTCATGGAAATTTTTAGAGTGTATCATAAAATATTTAAAATTTTAAAACTGAATGAAAAAAATTAGAATCATAGTATTAACATATCAATTCATTTTTAAGTAGAATAAAACTATTTAAATATTTGATAACTGGATTGGATGTTTTGTTTACCATATGATTTAAACAACAAATTTCCATTGTATTTGTGAAATGTTATAACTGTTATACTTCTTAAGCAGAATCTAACCTATTAGTAGCAGCATTGTAGCAGTAATTAGGCAAAAAATCATAATTTAATTCCCAAAATACATGGAGACAAATACGTCCATAAGGTGCTGAAACATTGTGATTTGCTTCACGAAACATTGCATCAAAATCATCTAATGTGATATATTTGCTTAATAGTTTGTGTGCTAATCTGTTGACACCAATTACTCCTTCCAGTTCCTATTAAAAATTGGAATACATTAAAAATACAGAAACTATCAAAATTAATATATATATATAGTAATAATAATATACATACAACAATTCCTGTAATATCTCCAGCTTCAAATTTGCTAATTGCTAAATCAAGAGATTTTTGAAGTGCAGCATTAATACGCTGAGCAGTCAGTCTATTAAGATCAATTGATCTTCCCAAAAGTTGAACGTGTCTTTGCTTTAAAAGTGTTTCATAACGGTTAGCAGGAGGATAACTAAACCGAGTTCCATAACTAGCACATTCTGCCCTAAATCTTTTATCTAACAAAATGCTGAAAAAATATGATTATTAAAATAATATTGCTAAAATATTTAATTATTCATTAAATAAAATCTTTACTTACCTTCCAGCTAAATGCTTATAATATGCAAAAATTTGATCACTAAGCTTGTAGACAAATTGATCAAAACACAAATTAACTTCAGCTTCCACTTCATCATAAAGAAACTGCTTACGAAATTTTGTGAGAGCATAATAAGCACTATCATTGTATAAATCTAATGGATACAATACACACCTGCATAAAAAAATTTACTTTAGTGATTTAAAATATTTTAAAAATCTTTATTTCCTATAACTAGGATCTAAAAACAAAATATGACAAAATATTTATAATAATTATAGCAATAATGATATTTTTATTTTGTCTGTCTGTAAATCTTTATAAGTTAAAAATAAATAATTCTTAATTTATGTTATTTAAATTCTTAAATACCCATTTTGATTATTTCATTCTTGTGTTTATAAAGTTTTAATTATATAATTTAATAAACTTATTTTATTATTCTTTTTCAGTCATGAATTTTTGAATTATTATTTATACATATGGAGACAATGAACAATATCATATTATTTAAGCATAATTATTAATGCAATATTAATAAATACTTTCACATATAATTAACTAATTAAGTACTAATAAATATATTATTATGACTTATATTATTTTAGAGTACAAAGATAAATGTAGCAATTATTTTATTATTTCATGTCTTGCATTCAAAATCAAACAAAAATCAATAATGATCAAATCAGATTAAATTCTGTGTTTTTTATATTACCATATATCTCGGCAGATAAGACGAGGTATAAATTTTCATCGAACTTTTATAGTTTTAGCATATATCTGTCCTATAAGACGACCCCCAACCTATCAATGGCTTATGAATTTAGTTTAGGTCAACAATCATCACCTGAATACTAATACTGTATAGTGTATATGGAATTATGTCCTATTTGTAATTTTTCGAATAAACAAATGTTATTTTCTTGCATCTGGCATCACTGCCTTGCGATTGTTACAAACATTTGCACTGATTCAGCATTCAGGTAATGCTGAATCAGTGCAAATGTTTGCAAATTCACCTTGACTATTCACAAAAATGTCGTATGGCTATTCTATTTTGTGCACATACCCTACTCTCTCTAATAGTAAATAATTATGGTTTGTCCATTTTTTTATAATGGTTTTAATTTATATAAATTTCAATCTAATTTTTTTTGTATCTGTCCTATAAGACAAACCCAGATTTGGGGGGGCCTTTTTTTTATGATTCAATTATCGTCTTATCTGTCGAGATATACAGTAATACAGGATATTAATTATTAACTTTATATGATTACATTTATAACCAATAAAATAAAACTAATAAAGTTTATAAAAAAGTTTATTAACAACTTACTCCATCATAGAAGGATCCTTTGTTTTAAGTATATGATCAGTCAAAATCCAAGGTAATGACATTTCAATTGGAAACTATTTACCAGAAAAATATAAAATTACTTACTATAGAAAAAAAGAATCTATGATTAATAAAAAAATTCTGCAGAATAAAAACTTATTACTTTATTATATAATTTTTGATTAAACTTGCCTAAATTTATATTTTATTCTATTTTATATCATATTGAACAAAAAATAATTTAAAAAATTATGCAGCTCACAATGCAGAAAAAACTTTTATTAGTTAATTTTAAAAAATCAAATATGAATATTTTGAAACAAAGAAAAACTTATGTAAAAAGCATTTGATTATGTAACTTTAATATATCATGTCTATACATATAAGGCCATCTCATAAGTAATGTTTTTAACATTTAATTTAAAAAATTCTATTTTTAATTAATTAATTGATTTTGTATTCTTTACTGTTTACAACAATATACTACCTATCAATTTATTTTTCAAATTCTCTTTTGAAAAATTTAGTTGGTTTTGTTCTGAGATCCTGGTTTGTAAACTTAAATTTTTTAGATATTGGAACAGATGATAGTCTGAGCCAGATCTGGAGAATAAGGCAATTGCAGCAGAACCTTCCTAGTCCAATGTTTTAATTTTGCAGTTAATTTCGCTATGTGCAGTCCAACCTTGTCATGTAGCAAGATTAAACATTTTCTATTGAAAAGATGTGAATCTTTTTTATAAGGCAAAATGTTGACAGTCTAATTGTTGACTTTCTACATATATTACGGGTTATTGTTTAATTCTGATTTAGGAGTTCAAAGAACAATGACATTCATATCTCCAAATGCAAAGCATTAGCTTTTTGAAATGCAAACTGTCTCTGGTGCAGATTTTGGTGAGATATTTTTGTCAACCTAATTCTGTTTGTGCTTAATGTTTTTAAAAAAACAATCCATTCTTTATCAGCTACAATTACTCAATTCAAAGATTTTAGGTTTTTCTTGGTGGCCAATTAACAATGTATAAATGTTTGTGCTGTGACAAATTCATATGAGTTACTTATGTTGCATTTATTTTCTAAGTTTAAAATTTTTCTAAATAACTTTAAGTGCCAATGAACAGTAGATGTGGTCAAATTCAGCCAACTCCTTAATAGACAGATAAGATTCACCCACTAAAGCTGAGAAGTCATCTTCATTGAACTGGTTATCTGAAATATTGATCATTCACTGATCTCAAATCATTCATTCTAAACTTTTTAAACTAACTTTGGCATTTTTGACACCATTTCCATAAACACCCATTATATTTTTTGTAACAAAATACTTTCCTTGTTTAAACAGAATTAGAATAGAAAATGGTTAAATTCATTTAATGTACTGTGTCTTACATGTATTTCATTCAACAATCATGATTTTGTTTGAAAATGGTATACAGTAGAGCGTCGATTATCCGAAACGTCAATTATCCGAAAGAATTCCAGTCAGCAAATTTAAATTTTCGCCAGTACTGCAGAGCTGCAATCTTTGGCTATGTCTTGGGCTACTCAAATATTTTACGTTTTTAATACTAAATTAACTTCTGAAGTATCATTTTTTATTGTTTTTATATTTTTCAATATATTTATTTTGTTTGTACAAAATAAAAAAATAATTTTTAACGATACAATAGACTTCATTAGGCTTAACATCGATGAAAATTCAACGCGAAGTGACACGCAACGGAGAAAAATTTCAACATTGGATACATTAAACTATTTTTTCATACATAATCGGTTATCCGAACAACCCAGTCCCCAATTGATTCGGATAATCGACGCTCTACTGTATGTTAATACTCAGATGTATTTCATTGTACTGCTGAATGTGTAGCAATCAAAAACAAGATATTTATGCAAATGAATGCATTCATGTTTAAACATGATCTACATAACAGTATAAAAAAAATGGCATTACTTAGAGGACCACAATAAATATATATGCATATTGTCTGCCAAAATAGTCTTTTTTACAGATTAATTGTATAAATCTTATTTAAAAATTTATGTATTGCAAGTATTTAAAACACTGCCTTTTATAAATGAATGTAAATATTCTTGATAAATCTAATGCATACATAGGGTGGCCAATAACTCACTTTTGAGTAAAAATTGAATAAATTTTTTGTTTTTTATTTAGTTATTTATAAACAATAAAAATATAGGAGCCTTGTTTAATGAAAAAGTGCATTACTTGATCATAGCAATGCACATAACTATACCAGAAAAGTAATGGCTTATCACACCGATGATAATGAGCACAAACACTCAGGAATCAAAGTAAAAACATTTAATAAAAACAAAAAATGGGTGTACAATAAAAATGACTACATACTTTTTCATTTCCATACTTATGTAGTCATTTTTATTGAACACCCATTTTTTGTTTTTATTAAATGTTTTTACTTTGATTCCTGAGCATTTGTGCCCATTATCATTGGTATGATAACCTCTTACTATTATCTGCCTCACATTTGTAGATATTTTAATTTATTTATATTTTTTTTAAATAATAATGTACATAAAATAAACTTCTTCTTTAAACTCTATATGCCACATAAATATCCCTATTTTTCACTTTGTAATTTATTAAATACTTGAGATTAGACTATAACAACTAAATTTTCGTGAAAAATTGCTGATTCCATGGGCAGATTCTTGACATGGATAAAACACATGTTCACTGCATTGGAATAATGAAGCACTTATTATGGAAATGAAATTCAATGATATCTATATGCTGTTCCTTCATGAATTTTTTCATAACAAATTTCCAAGAAACAAGTTTTCAAAATTTGAAATAAAAATTTAAAAGTATATAATAGCAAAAAACTTTTAAATGATAAAATGACTTACTGATCTCCCTGTATTAATAAAATACTAAATTCTATTAATAATCCAGAAACAAAGGAAACAATTAGTCCTCTCTTGTAATTGCATTCTGCTATTTAGTCTACCTTTTATATTTGTTATTTCACACAACTTGTTAAGTTTTTATTTTATTAAGTTATAATGCTGCCATTATAAAACAGAGAATTAAGAGCTAATGAATTCTAATTGACATCCAAATGGTTGAGTGGTTAAGGTTGGAGCCTATCATTCTGGGGACCCAGGACTGAATATGGCAGACCAAAAAACCCCAGGAAGTTTTCAAGGTTGGTCTGTCCCTCACAACTGGCTGCCCCACTGTGAGTATGGCCAAAGCCATAATGAGCTTGCTAAAAAATGGCCCTCTTAGTGCCTACAGGACTGAAAGAGTTTAGAAGAACAAATACTACTTAGATGAAAAGAGTTTTATATTATAAATAATGGACGCTACAATTTATGTGAGCAAGAAACAAGTACTATGATAAAGAGAAATGCTTTCAATAATAAGGATGAATATATATCATGGGCTAGATTAAAAATTTAGTGTTTAGATTATAGTCTACTCACATAAGAAAGCATTGATCTAAATTGGTATTAAGACATTTTACTAATTGTAAATTGCCTCCAGATACAAAATATGACATCTCACACTCAAGCAAAATATAGTGGTACATAATTTGCATTGTAATAATTTCACAAAAACTTTTAAATGTTCCAAAATTCCAAAGTTCCAAAATTTGAATTTTCATTAATCTAATAACAGTAAATGAACCTTTCTTTTTACATTGAGTAATACTTAAAGTTTGATAACAGTGAAGTAATTAGATCATACATCACAAATAGCTAAAAAAAATTACTATATTATTAATCAATTTCGTGAAAAAAGCAATTTTTCTAGAAGATAACACTAATTCTATTTTTTCTTCAACTACATTGAGTGTTGCAATTTTTAAAAATAATATATAATAGTACGTAATATAATAAAATACAAAATTTTCTTAAATAATAAAATTATAATTATCATTTCAATTTAAAACTATTAACTTGATATATGTTGAAAATATTATTTATAATTATTATGATACAGTCAATTCTCAAAAATGTAATCTCTGAAAACAATTTCTGAGAATTTCAGAAACACAAATAACATTTCACAATGTTAATTGTATTTCATAATTCAATTCTATTATATTTTTCAATTTAGCATTAAGAGAGAAAATTTTATGTTACAAGAGCAACTACATTTATTATTTTAATCATTAAAAATAAGATGCAAACTAAAAATATTAATCATCAAAAAGATATAGTTAAAGAATCAATAACTCTAAAAAAATATTTCACTAAGCTTTCTGGATTCTTGAGAATCTACTGTAATACATTCTAGTCATCTAAACTTTTAAAATTAATGAATAAAAATATATTAAACTAAATTCACATTACACATGCCACATATAGTTCATAAAATACAAAATAACCATGAAGTTAATAAAGTAATTTTATAGTTCTGCATTGTAAAAAGCAAATTAAATAAGCATACTGTTAACAATTTAACTAAAAGCAATGAAATTTTATAAAGGCCATGCCAAAATATTAAAAAGTAAACAAAGTAAGCATCATTTTTTTAGTATCAACTATACATCATGCTACAAGCAAAGAACTTGATATTTAATACATGGTAATTAATGTGTCATTAAATTTATTATTATTCAATTTTCATAAATTAAAATTGAGAATCTTTACAAAATTATATTTAGTTTTATTAAATATGTAATGTAATGATTATCACATGCTTTGTTGGCTTACTATAAAAATTCTTTTACCAATTTTCAAGTTATTATTTTGAAATAGTTTAGAAGAAAAATCATCTTAATTCTTATATTTTTAATTCTACTTATTCTTCACATAACAAGCTAAACTCTATTTTTTAAACATTCTATAAATAAAAGCCAGTAAAGTCTATTGAATTAACGACCAATTAAAACAGCAAAATAATTTAGTTTTTTGCATTTTTTCATAAAATGGTGGTAAATTTTATTTTTAACAACTAAAAAGTTTTCAGTAAATCAAATAAAAGTTTAATTGCAAAAATATTTTTCAATAAAAATTTGATCATTAGCTATCATATGATAATTTTTCTTTCATTACTGACAGTTAATATTTTATTGTCTGTAAGTTAGCTGATGATGATCAAATTCTGAATGAAAAATTTCATGCAATAATTTTCTTTGATATCCTGAAATCAGTTATTCAACTTATTTTTTCTTAGATGAAAAATCTAAGATAAAATTTGAATGATAAAAAAATGAAAAAACTATTAATTTTTAAAAACAAATTATCTGTTATTTGAAATATATTTTTATCAACAATTTGAATAAAATTTTTTATTTGAAAATTTTTAATAAATTTTAATTTAATAATTAAGCNTAAGTAGACACGCAGTGACCTAAACAAAATTAAAGTTTGCATATTATTTTTGTTAAATTTTAATTTTCCAATTAATAATTTTAGAGAGAACACTAAAACCCACATCTTGCATTATATTTATCATCAACATGCATGTTATTAAAACAATAGTGTATTAAAAAAATGCAACTATTAGCAGAATCAGATCTAATTAATGGCACCATATCTGAAAGTTGACAATATTTTGAAATCAAATCAAACAGAAAATACAGTTCATTCACCTGAGTACGCTTTTCCAGTGATACGATATCCTTACAATGTTGCGTATGGATATGATTGGCTGTACACTGGAGGAGAATAAAAATAAAACATAAAGTAATAGCATAGAATGCATTGAATGACACTATAACTTGCTTCGAGAATTCTGGTAAAAGAAGTTCTCACTATTTAGAAAGCAAGAAGCTTATTTAACATCAATATATATATGTAAATATATATATATATATAATAAATNCGTTAGAGGTATGAAGGAGTACATGTCAGGAGTTGCAATTTGGCACAGGTATTTGGTGCCCAAATCATGCACACACAAAATAAACCAGACTTGTAGGTAGTCAGGGGACCGAGAACTGGGTCAAAATAAAGTACAAAATGCTAAGACTGTTTCTACAAACAGGTGCGAGTGCAAGATTTGCACATACATTGCTCACACTCTCGTCCCAAGAATGGCTTTGCTGTTTTACTTGTTCCATTTCTAAAATGTTTGTTAATATGTATGTAAATAGACCATTAGTTTCAGCAGAAATTTATCATTACTGATTACATATGTATCTAAAATTTCATTAAATAACCTTTTAAATGATTTAGATGATTTAGTTTTATATGATCTTCCTGCAAAGAAAAAACAACCAGACTAAAAGCCATCATATGGTGGTTCTTCTATATAATAAATTTTAAAAAATACATTAATTTAAACTACTTGAAAAATTGTCATTTGAAATATAAAATGAGTTAACCATTATTCTTTGTTTCAAAGACAATTATTCAAATTAAAGAAAGATATTCATTTTATTGGATGCATCAATCATGTTAAGAGTTGATTACCAAACATTTAATAATGTTATTTTTTACATTTGAGCAGTAATATGAAAAACACCAGTAATATGAAACAGATAGCACCAGTAATATGAAACAGATAGCAAAGTTTCCTTTTCCCAAAAATCCACAATTTATACTACTAAGAATCTTATTTAGATATGCCCAAACCACAGAACAATTACTATATATACAGCTGAACATGTCTGTTTATCTTGAAAATCTCTTTATCTTGAAATTTATTTTCCCTGAATTTTCAGTCTAAACAAGGAAAATACAATTTAGCACAAAGTGCAAGAAAAGCAAATCCTTCAAATATGACAAAAAAGAGATAAAGTCCATTCAAACAAACAATTATAAATATCAATACATAAATTTTTCAAAAAATTTTTTAAATGGAATATCAACATATGCAAACTTTTCTACTTCACAAATAAAGTGCGACAATCACTAGAAAAAGATCTGAAAGTTGACAATATTCTCAATTTAAAAATTTAATTCAAATTGAGTTCCATATAACTGGAGCATAAAGGCATAATAAATTATTATAAAGTTGAATAGAGTAAACTGATACACAGATAGCTAAATTATCCAGAAAAAGAAAACCATTGATCCAATGATCTGCTGAAGAAAGTAATGTGATTCTCAAAAATGGATGATGAAGTCAGACTCAAATCATTTTGACAGAAACAAGCTACTAAATTTATTTAAATAAACTTTATGCAGAGGTTTTTAATTTTTAAATGAAGCAAAAACAGAAGACTACACCAAAAACCATAATCAATGATTGATCAGAAAAATGCAAACAACAGAGAACAATAAGATAGCTTTGTTAGAACTATTGCAATAACGTTGCCATAAAATGCCTCTGTGGATGGACAAATCTTTAATAACTTAATTTTATGAAAGAGAAAGATTAATTAAAATTTTCTTTAGAACTGGATGTGAGATAATGAGACATTAAAACATCATCTTATTGGTATTCAGCAATGAATTTAATACATTAAAAACATTTTGATCTATTCATAGGTCTTCCTCAGTTAGAACCTACATAAATGGAATGAACTAACGGATCAAATACAAAAGTAATATTCTAAAATTAAAAGAGAAGAAAATACAATTTAAAGTTTAAATGTAAATTTAATTTTAGAACATTAGTTTTGTATGCAATCTGTGAGTTTATTCATTTATATAAGTTCTAACTGAGAAAGACCTATGAATAGATTGAAAACATTTTTAATGTACTAAACTCATTACTGGAAGCCAATAAATGTCCAAAAAAATATAGATTGTTAATTTAATTTTAAGCGTATAAAATGTAAGATATTCAACCAACAGATAAAAAAGGATAAATATCAAATAAATTAGCGAAAATAAAATCAAATGTAATCTGTGTATTAAACTTTTATATGAAATATTGTTCTTAAAAAATATTATTTTACTATAATTTTTATAGAAACTGAATATATCAATAAATAAATTTATCTCATTTCATATCAACTATTTAATGATAATATAAAAATATAAAAAAACTGTGATGTGAATAACAAAATCTTTTATATTTTAATTTTTGAATTATTTTTGATGAGACTATGTCTTGTCTCTAAAATTGCACTGCTGTCAATGGTTGCACACCTTAGAGGTATGAAGGAGTACATGTCAGGAGTTGCAATTTGGCACAGGTATTTGGTGCCCAAATCATGCACACACAAAATAAACCAGACTTGTAGGTAGTCAGGGGACCGAGAACTGGGTCAAAATAAAGTACAAAATGCTAAGACTGTTTCTACAAACAGGTGCGAGTGCAAGATTTGCACATACATTGCTCACACTCTCGTCCCAAGAATGGCTTTGCTGTTTTACTTGTTCCATTTCTAAAATGTTTGTTAATATGTATGTAAATAGACCATTAGTTTCAGCAGAAATTTATCATTACTGATTACATATGTATCTAAAATTTCATTAAATAACCTTTTAAATGATTTAGATGATTTAGTTTTATATGATCTTCCTGCAAAGAAAAAACAACCAGACTAAAAGCCATCATATGGTGGTTCTTCTATATAATAAATTTTAAAAAATACATTAATTTAAACTACTTGAAAAATTGTCATTTGAAATATAAAATGAGTTAACCATTATTCTTTGTTTCAAAGACAATTATTCAAATTAAAGAAAGATATTCATTTTATTGGATGCATCAATCATGTTAAGAGTTGATTACCAAACATTTAATAATGTTATTTTTTACATTTGAGCAGTAATATGAAAAACACCAGTAATATGAAACAGATAGCACCAGTAATATGAAACAGATAGCAAAGTTTCCTTTTCCCAAAAATCCACAATTTATACTACTAAGAATCTTATTTAGATATGCCCAAACCACAGAACAATTACTATATATACAGCTGAACATGTCTGTTTATCTTGAAAATCTCTTTATCTTGAAATTTATTTTTCCCTGAATTTTCAGTCTAAACAAGGAAAATACATAAATTCAATGTATTTTCCACGTTTATCTCAAATAATTTTCTCCCAAAACCTCTATATCTCAAATTTTGGGCTGAAGTGTCAATTACAAATTCAATGCTCAGCAACTACATTTTGATAGCATAACTTGCAGTTAGAAAACATCTCTCGCAATACAATACATAGTTGCAATTATGTTACTTTTCTCTGACTGACTACAAATTTAACTTGTGTCTTATTGGTTGAAGAAAGTCAGCCATCAGAAACTATTGACAAACTATTTCTGTTAAGGTATGTCAAAAATGTTTCATTTATATCTAATACAAGTATGTGCTGTACTTGCTATTGTATTAATAAAATACTTCCTATCAAACCTCAATATTCTAAAATTTGTTTATCTTAAAATTTTTTCTCATTCCCATGAATATTGAGATAAACAGGTTCAACTGTATTCAAGTTTTTGTCATATTATTTTTAAAAAGAATTTCTCCAAGAAGTATAAAAATGTTTTGTCGGATAAACAGTTCTCTATTTTTTCTCTGTTAGTGTTTCAAAGACAGTGCAGACACTGAATTTAAATGCTTAAAATAAAACTTGAGCAAATTTAATATATTTATTTTTCCTAATTTAAACAATTATTTCTCTATTTCAAATTTTGATTACATTGTTCTAAATTCTCTAATTATTAAAGTTATTTTAAAAAATGACAAAATAGGTACCTTAAGAGCCAAATAAGTAATAATTAAATAACTTAATAATCAATAAGTAAACTTGTATAAGTTTGTCAAAGTACTAAAATTTAGTATCAAAAATGTGGCAATCTAATAATTTGATAAAATTGATTATTAGTAATTTGTATAGTACAGTTTACATATGGAAAAAAAAGCATGCAACTTTTTCATATTAAATCTGAAAATTTTTATTATTGTTGATTACATTTGTTACTGGATATAATAAGTAATAATGTCTTATGATTTTGAGAAACTGATTATAATTAAATTTCTTATGACTGCTGTTTATATATAAATATTATAAAGTCTCTGTAAATCCGCACGAAAAATATATAAATTTTAGGTTTAGCGGTAGACCAACACACAGCAGATGGCTAATTACTTCTCTTTATTTAATCACTGTATATGCATTTCAGTCCTATTCTAATATTCCTATTATAATATTCCTATTTCGGTCCTAAAGAGGGTTCTTTAATAGGACCGAAATGCATATACAGTGATTAAATAAAGAGAAGTAATTAGCCATCTGCTGTGTGTTGGTCTACCGCTAAACCTAAAATTTATATATTTTTCGTGCGGATTTACAGAGACTTTATAATATTTATAAACTGATTATATTTCATTACATTGTTGGCAATAAGCAAAAATATATTTTGGCAATTTTCCTTTTGTTTTCCTGGTAAAATCTCTTATAAGTTATCAGTTTTTTTAATTGTCCTTATACTTATTTCAATTTTATTCAAATTTTACTCAGTTCTTCTATGATTTCTTTTCTGATCTAAGTATGATTATTCTATAGAAAACAGTATTAGTTGATTTATGGTTAATAACTGCTTTATGTTTTCTAGAAAAATTTTTCTACTGGAGTAAAGCTATGATATTAAAGTTTGCTGATAAAGCAGATGCTAGCAATAATGAAGATGATGTTAATATTAAAAGGAAACTATAGGTTTGCTACATTAGTATACTATTAATACAACATTACTTACGACTAAAATTGAGGAGATAATTCCAATAAAAAGAAGCTTTATGGAAATTGTCAATTAACATCAAATAAGGTCCATCTATGTCTTTCCGCAATGTTCTCTTTCCGCCACTTTTATCCGAAATGAGAGATTCCAACATTGTCCGAACCATATAGAGCTGGGGAAAATTTTTCATAATTTTATATAAACTATGTTAATATTAACCAAATTAACATTGAAATTTTAATGTATTAATAATAATGCAACAATTTAAGAATTTTTTATATAAGTGCAGATTTGTATAAATGCATATAATAAAATAAATTTAAAAGATTAAACATTTATTAAATAAAAATTAAGAAATTGATAATAATAATACCATAAACATTTTTCTTCAACTTCTTAATTAAAAATCTTTCATGCAAGGAACTGACCATTTAAGTTATTTTCACATACAATATTGTTAAATTTTACTTTATAATATTTTTCTAATAATTGAACATATTTTAATTTCAAGTACTGTAATACCAAGTACTATAATACCAATAATCATAACATTCTTATAACTATTATATATTTAATTAAAATAATTTCAAACAGCATTAAAAACTAATATCATAAGCCATCACATAATAAAATCATTAGACAAACTGTAAATTATGATCAACTATGATAATGCACATGATAATTTGATATTAAGTGTTATATAAAGTAACACTGCATACAAAATGTTTAGTTGTGATAAAAAGTAACAGGAATTAGGAAGAAAAGAAGAATGGAAAGATAGCTAAAAGAAAATAAACCAGCAATGAGTTGCTCAACTTTTCCAGCAATATTTAAAATTTTGGTGGCACTATCTGTCATCATATTTTTATTAAAAATACTTTTAATTCTTTTAACTATTATAAAATGGTAAAAAGATTAATTTTCAGGGTATACACAAATTTTATAAAAAGTTATAAATGCTAACAATAAGTAAAATTGTAATTAAATTTGACCCTACTGGAAATACACACAACCCCCCATTATCTACCCACTCCTTGACCTTCAACCACCAAAATTTAATATCATCAATCCCCCTAATAAACAAACCTCCTTGCAAAATTTCTGAAATTTTGTAAACAAACAGGGTAAACAAAATCAAGCCCCATAAACATGGACGAGCAATTTTTTGTCAAAAACTGTGAATGTTGTCCAATCATACATTCTTTCATATTGCATTTATTATCATTATTAACTATAATCTAATATATTTAGTTTTCAATTAAATTCCTGAAATCAACTGTTTTTAATTTTCAAATGATCAGTTTTATAAGAAAAAATTTTAATTGAAAAAAATACATTTTTAAAATTGTCAAAATCATTAATAGTTGTAAATAAGACATGTTAATATTATATATAATATGCTTTAATCATTTAAGGTTACTCCTATAACATAACATAATTTTGAGAGGAAAACAAAAAGCAATTCTCTATTAGTATTCATTACATAGATAATTTATTCTAAGTATGTCAAGTTTGAATTTCTCTGAATGTAAAAAACACTGAAATAAAAATAACTTTGACAATCAAATTTATCAACTTAATAAGAATTAAGTAATGATAAATTATATCACTAAATTATAATTGTTTTTAATATTTTATACTTTACTTTCATTTTAAGACTAACTAATAATTAAACAGATGATAGGAAACAGACAAGTGCAGAAAAAAGTTTTTAAACTTTTTCAGAGAAGTAATTTTTAGAATAAGTTCTAAACAATAAAATTTATGAATAAAAATTTAAAAATAATTTAAAGAAAAACTATAAACTATTAGGAGTCTTAATTTTTACTTGAATCATAAGTTGAAAGAGCAGAAACACTGTCAGTAGAATAAACTATACATTTATATCAACTATGTAATATATCAGGGGTGGCCAACCTGCGGCTCGCGAGCCACATGCAGCTCTTTGAAGGATTATTTGTAGCTCTCGATAGATGTACCCGAGTTTCCTTTTCATTTTTGTGTTGTTATATTTTAAAAAATTATTATCGTTCCGTATGTGTTTCAAAATGTCTTTTAAATTACTAACAACAAATATGAAAGACTAAGTGCAATGTTGTAACAAATTTCATTTCCGTCCAAGTTAAGAATGATATGACTCATCGAAAACTGCGCGAACGAATATAAACAGTGGCGTAATCGTCCGTTATCGACCGACTTTGAATTTGTAAACTGTCATTCAACAGACAGTTGACATTGTGCTCTGGAGGAAACAATTTGTATCACTCTTGCTACGGATATAATTTGTATTCTGGAATTTTTTGCATACCTTTTTAATATGTATTTAATTGCGGCTCGCGAAAAATTTCAAATTTTGAAAAATGGCTCGGACTATCAAGGAGCTTGGCCACCCTGGTAATATATTGTTTATTTCACAGTTAAGAAACTATGAATTTCTTTCATTAATATAATTTTTTTTAAATCCTGAAAGAATATGAAACTTATCAATTATTTTATTTCATAATAAAAAATATATATTGTATATGTATATTTTTACTATTAGATATAATAAATAAAAATGAAACTCATAATTAAATAAAAACTTTTAGCTTATGTAATTTGCACTAACTTGTGTACTAGAAGGTCCAACATTTCTGCGTGGTACTTTAATTTCAAATGGTCCATTTTCTGGATCTTTTTTTCCTTTCAGAGCAGGATCATCTTGTGGTTCTATACCTCTCATCCAGTCAGCACAAGTTTCTCGAACTGAGACAAATATACTGTAAAACCCATTTATGTTAAATATATTGAATATAGGAATAAGTAAATTTTAAATATTTAAATAGTTACCTTCTGATTAAATCCTTTTTATTTTTAATAGTCTTTCTTAAGGGATCTCTTAGTGTTTTTTGCACAAATTCCTGTAATTCTGCATAAACATGACGACGAATTGCATCTGTAAACACTGTTTCCATACGACTCATCAATACTTGAAGACCTTTAATCATGGCAATAACCTAATGTGATAAATATTCATAAAATTATATCAACAATTAGAATATTGCAATCAATGGCTTGTAATTATCAAGATAAAAAATTTCATTAAAAACATTAAAAGAATCATATTCTATTCTCTCTATTCCTAATAAATATACAGTAATACCTTGACTTACGCGAACCCGGAGTTACACGATTTTCAAATCTTGTCGATTCGTCTTTTGTTTGAGTGCCACACAACTCTTGATTACTCACTCCCCTCACATTATTGTTCAGCTTACATGTTCAGACGTGTTGTGCAGAATCAACGCATAGCTACAATTTATTTTGTGTTATTTATTTTTGTGTTTGTTATATCTACAGAGACTTGAGAGACTCTATGTGGTGATTTCTTGTAATCGTGAATGAATCAAAAGATGAGATAAGATTAACGAGAACATTTATTAGCTTACATACATCCGATTTGGATTTTACATAAATTGCGAAATTATACCCCGACTTACGCAGTCCCACCTATCGCATAAGTTCGGAGCATTATTGTACTTAAAATAATATTTATGGTTGTAGTAATGTTTTGAGATATCAAACAATATTGATTGATTTTAATAATTACTGACACTTTTCTAATTGGCTGCTGTCATCATTATTATTGTTATTAAGTTTTAGATTGCAGACATTTTTCCCTTCCAACATTAAAAGAAAATTCAAATGTTTATTAGATGTAACATTCTGATTATACTTTCAGACCAGATGTCATAAAGCTCATGTAAATTTCTACAATGTGATTTGTTTAGTATGGACAACTGCATTCATTCCTTTTATAATGTTCTGCATGCTGTTTCATAAAAATTTACTTTTGTTTATAGAAATGAATTTGCATGAAGAAAAAGGCACAGTTACATGATAAATCAAAATTTAATTTACTTTGGGATAATATCTTTCCAGGAGATAAATGTAAGTGTAGAATTTAATAAACTGACTTATGAATCAACTCGTTGGGTAAATTTTTAAATTAGGGGTTACAGAGAGACAATGAAAAATTCAGATCTCTGTCTCTAAATATTTGTTTGGGTAAAGGTTGAACAAAAAATGATGAAACCAACATCTGGAACAAGAGTCCTTTTATCCAATCAATTTTTTTATTCTTCTAAAGTGTAATAAGGTTAATACATTTCATTTATAATTTTTTCTTCTAAATAATTTTGTCTCAGCGATGTTTTGTACTATTTATTTGATGACATTGAATCAAAAAAGCAATTTTTTAGGATCAATAAAAAAAAAAAAAAGGAAACTTCAAATTACAGATACTACAGAAATAATAAATATTTACTTAATGTCTTCTTTTGTTCTCCATTCTGTTGATATAAAAACAATTCTTATCACAAAATCAAAATATATTATATGCATATGGAAATACAGATGTATAATCTCAAATGTTTAATGATGTATTAGACTAAAGTTAAATGTAATAAATTATAATTAGATGCTAGCAAACAAGTTCTTTCTCACTATTTAGAAAAAATATATTTCTTTCTAGACTATACATACAAATAAATCCAAATCCTTCTATCCTTTCACATGCTTTCTAGAGGCAATAATAAATCTACAGCAAAACCGACCTTTTATTTTAGGCTACATGTCTGCCGTCAAATGTAAATAAGTTAAAAAGTCCTCTAGCAGTGACTAACACAATCATAAAATTAATAATTACATTAAAAAATTTCTTAAAAAAATTTTTTTAATGTAATTATTAATTTTATGATTGAAGAAGGAAATATATTTTTTCTAAATGTGAATTCATCCTGGCAATTTTTTAATGTAATTATTAATTTTATGATTGAGTTAGCCACCGCTAGAGGACTTTTTAACTTATTTACATTTGACGGAGGACATGGAGCCTAAAATAAAAGGTCATTTCACCATAGATTTGTTATTGCCTCTACAAAGTGTGTGAAAGGACAGAAAGACTTGGAATCATTTGTATGCATAGTCTGGAAAGAAATATATTTATTCTAAATGTGAATTCGTCCTGGCAATTTTTTAAATCTTTCTAACTATTTTAGAGAATGTTACCTCCTTTATCCACATAGTTATTGAATATATACACCTATTGAACAAATCTTAAAAAATTTAATACATACTATCCAGAGTACAAAATTTCAATTTAAAAAAAATTCTGTCTCAGAATTCAGCTGCTAGGGCAGAATTTAGTGCTGCTCTCTCTTTAATGGCCATATTATTTACATTTTCTAATGAATTTTGGGTATAAAAGGACAAACTTTTATTTACAATTCTTTGACAAAGTGACCAGTCATGGTGTTTGCTTTGCCTGATCTTGCATTACTTGTTTAACTTTTCTATCAATAAAACAGCAATGTCAGCTCAGTACTTAAAAACTTCAGCATATTTTTTTAAATGCCAAAATTCCTTAAGTACTAAACCAGCATTGCTGTTTCATTGATAGAAGAATTTAGAAAGAGTCCTCCTCTGACTATTGGAAATCTTTAGGAAAATGATTTTGCATTTGAAGAGACTGAAACTTTTGTTGACATCAAGACAAGGTTGCAAACCAATTGGACATCTGAAAATGGAAGATGTTGCTACTGCAATAGTATAGCAAGGAATAAAAAATTCTTATAGCATTAACCTGTCCTACGTTGTTCCCGAAAATATTCGTGTTAACCTCATTGACCTGCGTGGGCGATCCCGAATGTTTTCGTGTTTACATCGGAACGTTTTTGATACTAGATGTTGCTATGCGTCACAATTTTTATATTAAAACAAACTTTTAAAATATAATTTTTTTGTATCTATATTATTCAATATATTTATTTTGTTTGTAAAACATAAAAAAATAATTTTTAATGGTACAGTAAACACGGTTATTATTTAAAAAAAAAAAATGTTTTTAGGCTTAACATTGACGAAAATATCAACATGGCATCACAGGCAACAAATAAAAATTTCAACATCAAATAGGTTAACAGTGCACATGCAATATCAGGGCAATTAGAAATACCCTGTATAAAAGTGTGGAAAGTTTTGCCAAAAATCTTGCATTTTTATCCATACAAGATATCCCACAGTTAAAAATTGGTTACTGGTGATAATGATAGGCAAAAAAAAATTTGCCATGACAGTCATAGCTTAGATGATGGTTGATGACTCATGGTTCTGACAAATTTTGTGGAGCAATGAGGCTCATTTTCATTTGCATAATGATGTTAACATTCATAACTGCCATATTTGGTCAGACAAAAATTACATTTACCAACAAATTCCATTGCACTCAAAGGTAAAAGTGTGGTGTGATTTTACAGTATTTTATCACTGGTCTTTATTTTTAGAAAAAGAAAACTCTGTATCTGGGCTTGTGACATGTTCTGTTAGTTGCCATTAGATACAAAGATATGCTCCAAAATTATCATAAAACAGAGCAGCAGAAAAATTGTCTAAATTCCACAAAGTTTATGCAAGATGATTCACCTCCTCTTATTAATTTAAAATTTCTGGATTTTCAACTATCTGCTTGGAGAAACTCAAGGTTAGTGTTTTTAATTTTAAATTCTTGCCTGGTTTTGTTAAAAATTGAACTAATCGTTTGTTTGTTTGTTTGTTAGAGTTTATTGGCGCAAGGGCCATACAGGCCAAGCTGCGCCATGGCAAATGGTATATATAAATAAATAAATATATATATATATAAGATGTTCAATATAAATATATGAATAAACTAATAAATAACAAAATCAATAACAAAACCACATATAACAGTATACATATAAAAATTAACAAGATATATACATAAATAAATAATCAACAAGGTATATATATAAACATAACCTAAATAACTAATTAAATATGTCTATAAATATTATTCACTTTCAAAAAGTTCAATAATTTGTCAAGATTTGGCCTCTGGCCCAAAATCTCTCTCAGACTTGCATTTCCAAAATGCTGTCTATGACTTTGATCAAAAGCAGTGCAGTTGCAAAGCATGTGTTTTACACTTAGAAAGCAGTTGCAATGCTCGCATACTGGCAACTTGAACTAATCAGCTTAACTATGCAAGCCTTACTGCAAACAACATTTTTCACATGAAAAAATGATTAGCTGATCATTTCCAACATCTTGGCCACTACAATCACTAGGTCAGAATTAGTCTTATGACTTTTGATTATGGAACTATGTAAAAAGCCTCATTTACCAAAGTAATATTCTCAATCTAGATGTCTTAAAAGATAGAATTTCACACGTGTGACAACTCTAAGAAGGTCAGTTGTGTTAATGTTTTACATGAATGCAGTTTTCAGTGCATAAAGATAGAGCCATATCTTTGATGTAATTGTCATTTCCACAATCCACATCTGTAATTGAAATAAAATTATTGCACTTTCTTGATATACTTTCTACAAATAATATTTTTAGCTTTTGAGTTAATCTCGATATTTCGGAAATATTTTTGAAAACAAACTTTAATTTTTATTTCTCTAGCTTCCATTACTCTAGAACAAGCCAAATAGCAAATAGTTTTCACATAAATAAATATTTTTTTAATCTATTAGTAAATAATTCTGGTTGTGTGATAAAATTCTAAAACTTACTATTTTATATATACTTAAAATTGTTACGCTTTATTACACGTATTGTACAGAGTTCTGATAACATTAATAGTAGTAGAGGGATAATTCATTGTCACTACTTGGTTTCAACGTAAATCTGTAAATTTGCAATTTTTAGTTAGGTGGTTTCTAAATTGTTGACACATGTTAAGATAATGTCAATATTACTATTCTTGTCATAATCATATCTCGTAGATGGCTTGGTTAATTTAAACTTTTATTGCTAAAAGATGATTCCTTGAAACAAATGTCAGTAAAACTAAAAAAACTAAAATATTTGCTTATAGAAAGATATCAATCCAGAAACATTGTCTTAATGAAATCTGTTGCCAGATTAGGAAAACATTTGTCATTATGCAGATAGAGATAATGATAACTTGTTTAAGATACTATAACCTCTAGTAAAATAAACAGAATTAGGTAATTAAAAAACTTACTTCAATTAATCCAAACTTTTCTTCATCGCTGTAATTATATCTTGTTGCCTAAATTAATAAAGCTCTATAAATATATAGATTATATAGTTGTTATTAAAATTATAACTATTACTGACTCTTTCATATTCTTCTGCTTCTGGAGGACATTCCTTATTTTGATGATGGTCTGTAGGATGCATCAGTTTCCATGAATACTATAACAAAAAAGCACATCAGAAACTATTTTTAAAATGTCAATATAATTTGCAATACAGTTATTTCCTTACTAATTCAGTGACATGTGTACTCCAATCTGATAATAACTGTAAGCCTCGTAAGGCTAATTCTGTCAATTCTTTATTTTCTTCATCTGATCTTGGTGTCTCCTTTACTGTTGTAGTTACCTGCTAGATACCATAAAGATTATCATCAAACCTTTTTTTTTTGGTTTGACTTAATGATAATTTAAACATAATAAATAAATCCATTTTATTATCTTACCTCATTATTATGTCTTGCTAATTCACTGATATAATGAACATAATCATCTCTTATTGTTGGCAGATATTGTAACAAATCTGACTGTTGACTTGGTGACGAAGAACTTGCCAAAGGCCAACGAGATGCATCATAATGAGGACTTCTTTTTAAATAATTAAATGGTGCTACTTGCATATCACCAAATAATGGTACCATTTCCAGTTGCTAAATAAATATTAATTTATTATTATTATATTTATAAATACTCAAAATAAATACAAAAAATTAGTTTTTGATTAATAGTATGACGAATATATTAAGTAAAAAAATGTTTATGCCTGATAATTATATTATTATTATTTTATAAGTTTGCAAAATTGAATAAAACAGTAAAACATTTTTATATTTGAAATGGTATTTTGTATTTGTTATTTAAAACTATAAAACAAAGGAATATTCTTTGATCTAAGTTCTTATATAAAAATTATATTTTGATAGTTTACTTTCTAATTTTTGGTTTGTACATTAAAATTGTGAAAAGTCAAAACTGACACTTTTATACTATACTGTGGTGTTGAACATCACATATATATAGCAGGTAATGAGTATATAGCTATTACAGGAATACTGGGTAGCAGGGTATCTTTAAGTACTTGTTTAAAAGTTACTATTCTATAATAACTTTTATTATAGTATATGTTATATAATATAAACTTTTGCATAGCTACCATATGTTAGTGGTTGACTTATACAAGTAAAGGGCCAAATCAAAATTTTGAGCTAAAAATTTTGAGTTTATTAGTTATGTTTTGTCAAAAACACTAAGTTTTCAACAAATGTTAGATGTTGGTCTGAGTGACATGTTGAGAGATGTCAGAGTATCTCCTAATACAAAAAATATAAACAAAGTTCTCATGTAAGGTATAAGGCAGCAAAGAATTAGAAAGTGTAGGAGATCAATGTGGAAAGGAAAATCAAAAAGAATAATTATTGAAAGAGGCAGAAGAACAAGAGCATCTATGCTACTAAGAAAAGGTAGGAGTAAGAGGAGAAAAAGATCTAATTACAGTAATTAATCTCAGCTAAACAATTTTATCAATATATTACATAAAATACTAGCTAAGTTAAGTTGTCTTTCTTTCTTCCTTCTAAGCTAAATTAAACTTTCTTTCTGTTTCATATTTTCTATCAATTTTTAAACAGGCAAAAAAAAACAAAATTCATTTAAAATCATTTAATTAAAATATTACACAATCATAATTAAAAACTTACCTTAAATATTTTATCAATTTTTGCTATATTAATACGTCTTTTCTGATCCAGTTTGTTTATATTGCATATTTCTCCATCCATAAGAAACAGTCCAAATCCCATTACCTTAAAAATACAGTGAATAAATAAAAATTATTTCATTGGTTTATATATTTAAATCTATTGAAGGAGAACTTTCAATACTTATTTTATAACTAAATTATAAAAACAATGAAAATTCTCAACAAAGAGTNCGTTTTGACCTCCACCAAAGCTTATCTGTGCTTGTCGACATACACCGGCGATTGTTCGAATGTATAATAATATAACAAAATATTCGGTCTTTCACCGATGTATTTTGTATGTGTCGACATTCACCGGAGAATATCGACATTCTCTAATTTCGGTCTTTCACAGTAACATATACATAACAAGGGAAAGTATTGGAACTGTGTCCAATTTGACCTTCTGAGTTTTTTGCAAATCTCCATATTTTGAGATCTGAATCCAAAAAAAATATCCATGGATATGTGTGGGTATGTTGGCATCTATTTTGCTTAAGCATGGGGTAAAGATTGAGAAATGAAATTTGGCATAATGACTTGTATATGAGGGGCATTGATGTTATAAAATTTTGGTGGTGAAAGGTTGAGAGGGTGGAGAGTTAAGGGGTCACCTATCTCGAGAGCAGTAAGACTTAATGAAGATTTTATTCATTATTAGCATTTATACTTTTTTATAAAACTCCCCTCTATCTTCCAAATTAAGCTTTTTGCCATTTTATAGTAATTAAAAATATAAAAAGTTTTTATAACAAAATCTGATAACAGATGGCGCCATACACAATTTTATTTTTTTCTTAATAATATAAAAGGTTTTTAAAAAAAACTCATAACAGCTGGGAAAGATACACAACTTTCATTGCTAGATTTTTTAGGATATTTATCATATTTTTGTTATGATAAATAAAATTTGATTGTGTTTGATAATTTCAATATGTACTAAAAATTTAGATTAGATACTGACTGCTATATTATTTACTTAAAGATATAAAAATGTAAATTAGCATAAATTTTATGCTAATTTACATTTTTATATGTTTAAAGAGTTATATGTGGATCCTGAAGTTGCTCCAAAATACAGCATGAAATATATGTATTGAATACTATATGTATTCTGCATTCTAAGATTATTTTGACAATCATCATCTCTTTCAAGAAAAAGAAAGACCGAAAACATTTCTTTCAATTCTGTTATTGGTTTTCTTAATTAGCTGTTTTTTTAATTGAATTATTTTTGGTACAAAGTTATTTGGATCTTCTGGATAAAGTGTAATTGTAATACACTTTTATTTACTAAGGAACAATGATTGATCTTATAACTGAAACAATTGAAGAAGAATTTTCAATAATTTGTAATTAATTTTCACACTACGTGAATTATGTAAAAGTATATAACAATGATTCCCCTCATTTCTGTGAATTTTATATATTTTGGAATGTTTAATTTTTAATAATAATTTGTAATTAATTTTCACACTACGTGAATTATGTAAAAGTATATAACAATGATTCCCCTCAATTAACTATCAATTCTTGACAGTTACTTTCATTTATTCTTAAACAACTAAGTGATATATACTAGTATTTAGCATTACCACACCATAGTGCATTTGCTATATTAGTATTGTGCAAACAGTAAAATATAAGACTTTCATAGCTATTACAATCAATAAGTTGAAATGAGTTATTATAAAGGATAATCACATAAAAATAACAAAGTTTATTTTAAAAATCAAATGTTTTCAGTCTGTTTAATATCAACAGAAAATACATCATACTTGGCCATCCTGTCATAACTGTCAAAGTAAATATGAATATTTGAACAAAATCAAACATATAAATAAAAAATTAAATAAAACATAAAAATAAATAAATAACTGTACAGATTGGATAATTTATATATTAAAATTATTATAACATACTAAAAATGAAATAAGAAGATAATAGATTATATCTGTGTTAAATTATACTGGTGTGAAAATTCTCATATTGTTTATTAAAGTGTATTTCCAGTGCATGCATGTGGGAACAAAAGATTCAATGTCCTTTGCATTTAAGCATTTCCTTGTTAATTTCTGTTTGAATATCTCCATTTCCACTGCCGTGTTAGAAAACTGGAGAAAACAATTCTACTTTCATTTGTGCCTGAATTTGTTATTTACTAAAGGTACATAGACAACATCCTAATAACATGGATTAAAGGAGGAAACAACAAAATGAATAGATTCATTAACATCAACCTAAATCCATTTGGTCTCCATCTCAAGCTAAAACAAAATAGTAATACTTCCATTTGCTTCATTGATGTTGATATTATCTTTACAAACAGAAAGATCTGAACAAAGCTGTATATGAAACCAACCATCTTCCAGCAAACTCTCATGATTTGCAAGCTTACAAAATTTCAGCTTTCAAAGCACTAATCAAACAAGCACACACCCATTGTCTCAATTTCCATCTGAAGTTTTTACCATGCGATGTGTCCAAAAAACTTCCATTTTCAGAATACTAACACTAAGATTATTATTGTTGGACAATTCTTATTATTGGCTACTTTTCAGTGGTGCAAGATTACTGGACATTCTGGATTATTGGTGCTAAATTAACAAACTTCAACTATAGTTATTTTTTAATATAGCTCACCTTTACAAGCATATGCTTTTCGCTTGGCAGCATGTACATTTTGTACTCATACATATAAACACAAATGTTTACTATATCTGCTAACAATTCTTCATAGCCTGGAATTTTTTCCAAACTTTCCTTCAATGTGTCTCTTATTTTATTCTGAGTTGCCAAAAACATTGATAAATTCTGTGATTCCTGCAATGCTTGTGAATCAGCCATAACTTTCAAGAACTGAGCAGCTCTATAATTGAAAATAAAATTTTATTTGAAATTACTTATTCAAATTTTTAGTTATTTTAAAAAATTTATTGATAAAGTTTGTAAATACCTTCTATAAGTTGCATAATCATTTTTTACACTAGATTTCATGTTTTTAAGTTCATCTAGCACTGCAAACATATTAATAAATTTTCCAAGGGTTAATAAATATGCTTCAGAAACAAAATCTTTTCTCTTTTCTGTGTGACAGAGTCTTTTAACTTCAGCTCCAAAACGTTCAATTGCTCTTCTCTGAAGAAGAAAATTAATTAAAAATTTGACATATCATAAAATTAAAAGAAAAGACTTTTAAAAAATTTTTATTTTAATAAAACTATGTTAAAAATATTTACACACAACAATTTTTGAATAGTATCTGAAAATCAAATAATGTAACATATACATGTATAGTTGAACTTCCACATAACAAGTTTCTATAACAGTTAAACTTGTATATCTCAAACATGTTTATCTTAAAAACCTCTATCTTGAAATTTATTTTTTTTCTCTGCATTTTCAGTCTAATTTCAATATATTTTCCATGTTTATTTTTTTATTTAAATTAATTTTCTCCCAAAACCTCTATATCTGAACTACAAATTGAAAGCTCAGCAACTACATCTTGATGATATTAACTGTAGTTGGAAAACATCTCTTGCAATACTATATATACAGTGGGTGATCGGTTAACGAACAGATCGGATAACGAACACTTTCGCGAAAGATTTTTATGTTCGGACAACGAACACATGATCAGATAACAAACATCCCACATAACAAACANTAAATTCCCATTAAAACCTATGGTAAATCGATAATCGGTTAACAAACAATTCAAATAGCGAACAAAGTCTTGGAACGGATTATGTTCGTTAACCGATCACCCACTGTAGTTGCAATTAAGGCTGTTTTTCTCCAATTGGCTAAAAGTTTGGCTTGTGTCTTATTGGTTGAAGAAAGTCAGGTATCACAAATTATTGGCAAAACTTTTTGTAAGGTACGTCAAAATGTTTTATTTATACCTAATACAGATAGCTACTGTACTTGCTGCTGTATTAATAAAATATTGCACGTCCAATCAAATCCAAAGCTATTACTATTTACTATATAGGAACCTCTATATCTCAAAACCTGTTTATCTCAAATTTATTTTCTCTTGTTCCCATGAGATTTGAGATAGACAAGTTCAACCGTATTTCTCTTTTCACAATTTTTCTGTACAACATTAAAGATAAGTGTTTTTTATAATTAAATTTTCTTTATTTATTAAAGTTTAATTTCTATATAATTTTGAAAGCCAGATGAATAAAACAAAATTATTATTTTTTATGTTGATAAATATTAAATTTAATTAAGATGGTGACTCATATTACAACTGTAACTGTTAGATGACTGTTAAGACTAAAGTACAAATAACTTATCATAAGAAGGTCAAAATATCTATATCTGAGAATACAAGTAGTTTCAAATAAGTTTTAATACATTCAAAACTATAAGAAACAGTCCATTAGCATTGCAAATAAAACTTTTAAATAAAATTATAATTGCTTGTTAAAGTAAAATAACTTTTAGTAAAAAAAAAAAAAAAACTATTTTTTAACATAAATATGTATATTATTATTTCAATCATAACATTTTCCCTCAATTTTAATTTTTAAAAAATACTAAAATACTATATTTTCTATTTAACTTTTTGTGTAAAATGAATACATAATACTTTATTTGCTATGACTACAAGTTCAAGGATATTTTCATGTAAAATAGAACATTACATTATATTGTGTTTCCTGTTTCCTCTTCACTATTAATTAATTTTCCATTTAATGTGTTTTCAACATAATTAATTTTCTGCCTTTCCCAACAACAATTTGTTATGTGAAAGTTCAACTGTAGTAACTGTTTGAATTGCATTATATAGCAGAATAAATACAAGTCTTCCCTGTTTGTTGGTTGTTTATTACTATTTTCATTTTAAAAAAACATTTGATGTAGATAAATAATAAATCTAATTACTTGTCTATATTGAAAATAAGTCTTGCAGTTTCGTTTGAAATGCATAAATGTCTTTAGCAATAAATACAATGCATTTCATATATTTTTTTCCAGTAAAATATTTTTAATTAAAAATTTTTATCCACTTTACTTTGTAACTAAATTGGATATTAGACCAGTAAAATATATGATAATAACTAATTGATTTTATTCTGAGTTGCCAAAAACATTGATAAATTCTGTGATTCCTGCAATGCTTGTGAATCAGCCATAACTTTCAAGAACTGAGCAGCTCTATAATTGAAAATAAAATTTTATTTGAAATTACTTATTCAAATTTTTAGTTATTTTAAAAAATTTATTGATAAAGTTTGTAAATACCTTCTATAAGTTGCATAATCATTTTTTACACTAGATTTCATGTTTTTAAGTTCATCTAGCACTGCAAACATATTAATAAATTTTCCAAGGGTTAATAAATATGCTTCAGAAACAAAATCTTTTCTCTTTTCTGTGTGACAGAGTCTTTTAACTTCAGCTCCAAAACGTTCAATTGCTCTTCTCTGAAGAAGAAAATTAATTAAAAATTTGACATATCATTGAAAGNTCTTATTTATAAACATATATAAACAAACTAAATCTAGATAATATTCAATACGCCAGCTTTTATTAAAATTCATTACATTTTCAAGATATCTGATCTCATCTTACAATTTTTAAAATTTTAGAAGCATTTGTATACATAATACACTCAAAATCATATCAATGCAGTGAAAGTTATTTATTGCAAATATTTTCAACCATTTTAAATAATCTTCAACAGACTACAATAAAATGGGAAATATATCAGTGCTGAAAGAATGACAAACAAACAAAAAAAATAACTTTTACAAATTCAAACATTGATATTCTTTTATATGTTCAATTTATGTTATTTTAGCACTTGTAATTTCCTTTTTATCATAGCATATCATGATGAAACATTTGTTTTTGACATAAATGTTTTTCTGAAGATATCAAAATATTCTGAATATTGCTTCTTATCTGGTTAAGTTTTCAGATATTAATTCTCCCAACTTAATTCAATAGTGATTTTACTTCCAGACTTAATATACCAAGGACAGTGTTATAATAATATTCTTTTACATTATTAGTTTTTATTTCTTTTTATAATATGAATTTCAGGCATACACTTTTCTTCAGTTGGGGTTATAATCGTATAAACACAATAATATGATATGTTGTAGTGCTGTATATATGTTTGGTTAACTAAGGTTAACCACTAAACAATTGTGTTTTAAACTTTTATGATTATAACTCCAGCGGAGTATATTGCACATGCCTGAAATGTACATTGTAAAAAGAAATAAAAACTAATAATGTAGAAGATTATTATTGGAACCCTGCCCGGGACATGGTCTATCTGTTATTTAACCAGCAGTTACTCTGGATACTTGGGAGACTATCTGATTTTGCAAACAAGTGATTTAATTTTTGATTTATTATTTTCTAGGTAAGGTTTAGCCGAGTCTTTTGGTTATCAATTTATTTTATTTTTATTTTTTGAATAGTTCTCTCATGTAAATGTAAATGTAAATTTAAATTTAGAATGTATTTATAAATAATTGTTTGATTATTATTTTATTGATGTAGTATATACAGTATATGTGGGATATGTTGTACAGTAGAGCGTCGTTTATCCAAATCAATTTGGGGCTGGGGTTGTTCTGATAAGTTATTTTTCGGATAACTGATTATGTACGAAAAAATATACAGTAATACCTCGACTTACGTTACCCCAACTTACGCTAACCCAGAGTTACGCAATTTTCAAATCTCGTTGATTTGTTTTTTGTTTGAGCGCCACGCAACTCTCGATTACTCACTCCCCCCACACTATTGTTCAGCTTACATGTTCAAACGTGTTGCGCGAAATCGACACATATCTACAATTNATCAATTTATTTTATTTTTATTTTTTGAATAGTTCTCTCATGTAAATGTAAATGTAAATTTAAATTTAGAATGTATTTATAAATAATTGTTTGATTATTATTTTATTGATGTAGTATATACAGTATATGTGGGATATGTTGTACAGTAGAGCGTCGTTTATCCAAATCAATTTGGGGCTGGGGTTGTTCTGATAAGTTATTTTTCGGATAACTGATTATGTACGAAAAAATATACAGTAATACCTCGACTTACGTTACCCCAACTTACGCTAACCCAGAGTTACGCAATTTTCAAATCTCGTTGATTTGTTTTTTGTTTGAGCGCCACGCAACTCTCGATTACTCACTCCCCCCACACTATTGTTCAGCTTACATGTTCAAACGTGTTGCGCGAAATCGACACATAGCTACAATTTATTTTGTGTTATTTATTTCTGTGTTTGTTATATCTATGGAGACTTGAGAGACTCTATGTGGTGATTTCTTGTAACTGTGAATGAATCAAAAGACAAGATAAGATTAACAACAACATTTATTAGCTTACATACATCCGACTTGGATTTTACACAAATTGCAAAATTATACCCTGACTTACGCGAATTCCACTTATGCGGTTATTGCTCGGTCCCATCTATCGCATAAATTCGGTGTATCACTGTATTAACCTATCCCATGTTTATTTTATTTTATTTTAATTGAAAGAGGGGAGTGCCTCCAGGTTCCACTCATAGGTACGACCTGGAGTTTGGAGGAAAAAAGTTGGTGAAATGGGAGTGAGGGAGATGAAGGATAGGGGATGAAAGGGGGACAAAGTGGGGAAGACAGGTGAAAGTACATGGTGCCTGCAATACAATTATTGAAAGCATAACAAAACATAATACAGAAAAAGAATTGACCAAAATATATTGATGTGCACCAGACAGTGGCAAGTACATTAAAAAAAAAAAAGTATATATACATAAGAGCTACAACATAAATATACATAATAAATTACATGATATGTACAGTGAGAAATCGCTTACAAGAAGCGTGCAAAACAAGAGGAGCTGGTTGGAAGCCTGAAACAATTTGTCATGAGAAAAGATAGCCAGTCCTATCCCATGTTGAAATTTTTCTCTGTTGCATGTCACTTCACGTTAAATTTTCGTCGATGTTAAGCCTAACAAAAATGTTTATAATAATAATCGTGGCTATTGTATTGTTAAAAATTATTTCTTTATTTTGTACAAACAAAATAAATATATTGAAAAATATAAAAACAAAAAAAAATTATACTTTAGAAGTTAATCTAATATCAAAAACGTTCAATTTTGCATGACACACAGTCCTCAGAAAAACACCACACAAAAGTGCCAGTGCTGCCACACACCAACAAAAAAAATATTGGAGTATCCCAAGACATAGCCAAAGGTTGCAGCACTACAGCACTAGCAGAAATTAAAATTTGCAGACTAGAATGCTTTCAGTTAACTGATGTTTCGGTTGACCGACTTACAGTTAAACAAAACTCTACTGTTTTTTTTTTTTTTGTATTTTTGTATGATTTTTGTATATTTGTTTTGCTTTTCATTCTTGTCCCTTCATCATGGTTTGTACTAGTATGCTTAGATAAATAAATAAAGATAAATAATTATTATTGGAACCCAGTGGCACACTCAAGATTTAATCTTAAAACAATCAAATTGAACAGATAAAAATTTTTTAATGCAAACTCAATAAAATTCCCACCTTATGTATCTGATAATCCATAAGTAATATAGAAATAGAACATAATATAAATAAAAAAATTAATTTTAATAATAAAAATATTTTTGGAAAATTTACTAGTGTTTCTTTTCCTTTTACTTTGGGGGGTGCCAGGGCTCCTTGGCCCACCCTAGGGTGCACCACTGTTGGAACCCTGTCTTTGGGTATACAACTCCTAGACAAAAATTAGAATATTCACCCAACTGAAAGTTTAGTGTACATTTTCTCATGAACAACACAGAGTACGAAACTTTTTTTAATCCTACATAAACAATGTCTATGACTTCCCTAAACCTGTTACTGGCATGCAATACATATAAGATATATACAGGGCTGTATATATCTTATACACATTGCGCATCAGTAACAGGTTTAGGGAAGTCAGGATTTTATTCCGATGCTGAAATTAGAGTGAATTTTGTGAACAATGTCTATGTATATTTATTATACCATTAATCAGATAAATTAACTCAAACGTTTTTTTGTTACAAATGGAAATGAAATGACAAAAAAATAGAACAACAGTTTCATTGTGACAAAAAAATTAGAGCATTAGCTAAATGTGGGTTAAATATAGGAAATACAACAAAATAAACTTAATATTTTGTGGCCTTGTTGTTTGCCATAATTAGTGCTCTCAATCTGGCATGGTGCGGATTAATGCTTTGCATTTGTTTCTGGAGATACAGTTCCAAATGTGTTGAACGCACGTCACTAGTTCTCTTTAGAATTTGATCACCATTCATTAAGACGTCATTTTATGACTCCCCACAAAATTTCAATGGGTTTAAGTCTGGGGAATTGCTTGGCCAAGGCAGGATTGCAATCTGTCGTTTTTATAACCAACGTATCGTTGACTTCGTGGTGTGAGAGGATGCTCCGTCTTGTTGAAGTAAAAATGTTTTCTCAATTAAATTCCCTGCCAATGGTATCATAAATGTCTCTAAGATGTCTTGATATGTCTGTGCAATGACACATTCCGAAGAATGCAGAGTTGTCTTACGCCGTTAGCACTCATGCATCCCCAGATCATGACATATGATGCAAACTTCACAGATCTCTTCATACAGTCATTTTCAAAGGTCTCTTTGCTTGTTTTCCATACATGTAGGCCATGGTCACCACAGTAAAGACAAAACAGGGATTCATCACTGAAGAGAACATTATTACAGTCATCTTGTTCCACATGAGCCTCTCTACATTATCTGACACTCGCTTGTCGTCGTTTTTTCATTAGAGATGGCTTCATCTTGGGAACACAGAAATTGAAATGCAAGTCGTGCAACCTTTGGCATGTGGTTCAATTACTAACGTTCACTCCAGTTGCTCTCCATTTAATGCTCTTAAAGTGGTTTTGCATGACAATCCTTCTCAAATTTCTCTCATTCCTTGCAGTTGTTGCTTGTTTACATCCACATTTCCGGCATTTATTAGTTAAAACTCGAACACAGTTTTGTTGTTTCAGTACTCTAGAGACTGTTGGCTGCGAGCATTTTATATAATTCACAATTTCTTTTTGTGTTCTTCCTACTTTGTACAAGGCTATTATAATATCTTTAGATCTATCACTGATGTTGCGCTTACCCCCATGTTATACTGTCATACTGTGCTGCCCAGCAATATGGAAATTTGCATCACAATTTAGTTTTTTATGGCTGTTTGTTTGGTTGTTTTTGCTAATATTCTAATTTTTTGTCATGGTCAAACTGTTATTCTATTTTTTTGTCATTTCATTTCCATTTGTAACAAAAAACACTTGAGTTAATTTGGGTGATTAATGTGTATAATAAACATAGACATTGTTTATGTAGAGTAAAAAAAGTTTCGTACTCTGTGTTGTTCATGAGAAAATGTACACTAAA